AGCCGTAGCAGCAGCAGCAGCAGACTCACTTCTGTCGCCATCGCCTGCTGATCCACCTTCCGCTTGCTTTTGCTCCTTCCTTGCTGCAGCAGCATGGGCGGCAACAGCAGCGCAAGTTGCAGCAGCAGCAGCACAAGCAGCAGCACCAAAGTAGCAACGGCAGCAGCACAAATAGCATGAGCAAAACAAGTAGGAACAGCACAAAGTAGCAGCAGCATCACAGCAGCAGCACAAGCAGCAGCACAATCAGCAGTAGCGGAAGCTCTGCTGCACTGAAGCTGGTGGACAGCTGCCCTTTGAGGGTTTAGGGTTTAGGGTTTATGGTTTACCTTGGTGGCGTTCATGTGTCTTCGATGAAAGCTCAACCCGCAGAGTCTTCCCGTCTAGAATCCCCTGCAGCCGCCGTAAACCCTAAACCCTAAACCCTAAACCCTTGGGACCTGCTACTTGAGCAGCGACAAAAGACTAGACGCAGCAGTCTCGTCAGCGGTTACAGGGCGTAGTCCCTGGTGTGGCTTAGGGTTTAGGGTTTAGGGTTTGCTGCTTCAGGCTTTAGGGTTTAGGGCTTGCCCTACGGAGGTGCCTGAAAGTGCTTTCAGTTTAAAATTCATAGGGTTTAGGGTTTAGGGTTTGTGGCTTGCTCACTGAGGTGCCCGAAGGCGTTTTAAATTCAAATTGCCTAAGGTTTAGGGTTTAGGACTTAGGGTTTAAGGCTTGCCCCCGGAGAGGGCGTTTTCAGCCAAATTTGTGCAGGGTTTAGGGTTTAGGGTTTAGGGTTTGCGCACTTCCCCGTGGAGGTGTCTGAGGGCGCTTTCGGCCTACGAAGCACAGAACTACGGTTTATGGTTTAGGGTTTAGGGTTTGCCCCGCGTAGGTGTCTGAGGGCGCTTTCCGCCTCCAATGCACAGAATTAAGGGTTTAGGGTTTAGGGTTTAGGGTCTAGGGTTTGTGGCTTGCCCCGTGGAGGTGTCTGAGAGCGTTTTCGGCTTCTCTCTGGGTGTCGAACTCCACGTAGGCGTAGCCCTTTGGAATTCCGGCCTTTTTGTCGATGGCCAAATCACAAGATCTAATAACTCCATAAAGTCCAAAAACTTCTCTTAAATGAGCTTCTTTGACGTTTCGAGAGAGCGAGGACACGTTCAGCGTGCACGACCGGTCGCGCCGCATCTTCAGACCCCACCTAGGGTTTAGGGTTTAGGGTTTAGGGTTTGCAGGTGCGCCCCCGCCGCGGCTGCCGCCCAGCGCCCGAACACAGAGCGAAAGACTCTTGCTGCGGAGCACAGCCGCAAAACCCTGCAAGCCGCTCTCCTGAAGAAGCCGAGGGCTTAGGGTTTAGGGTTTAGGGTTTAAGGTTTCGGTTGCACGAGGAGTAGCTGCAGCCACAAGCAGGCCGGGGGTGGGGAGAGAGGTGTTTGAAGGGAAACCGCCAAAAAGAACTCGAGCCAAGAAGCCTAAAGGCAAATTTTTAGGGTTTGAGGTTTGCGGGGAGGATATAGCCACTAGGGTTTAGGGTTTAGGGTTTAGGGTTTAGGGTTTAGGGCTACGGTAGCCCAGCGCAGCCTCGGGGCCCCGCTTCGCCCACCCCTTAGGTTTTTGTACCCAAACCCTTAACTTTTAGATATTTTGCTTTTTATTCTTTTCCTTTTTGTTTGTCTGTGGCCCCTAAGGCTGCACAAAGTCTATAGGCAGCAGCAGCAGGTCTCTTCTGCTGCTGCTGCCACCGGGGGCCCCCCAGTACCCTTTCAAAGCTGCTGCAGTCCCATGCCGCCCCAGGAGGCCCTGGGTGGTTCCCCGCTCCTCAGCCCCCGCCTGAGCGGCAGTTAAGGCTTGAGGGCTACGGGTTTAGGGTTTAGGGTTTAGGGTTTAGGGTTTAGCCGTGGGATGCAGCCTCCCGGCGCTGGTGGCGCCTCAGAGGCCCCTTCTGCAGGGGGGCCCCCCTCTGCCCTCCACACAGGGGGGCCCCCCCTCCCCGCAGTACCCCCTCCCTTGGGGGCCCCCCAGGCGGGGGCCCCCGGGGCTGCCCCCCGGCTGCCCCCTGCAGTGCCCCCGGGGAAGCCGCGGGCGCCGCCTCCCCTTAAACAGCCGAAGCAGCAGCAGCAGCAGCAGCAGCAGCTGCAGGCACAACAGCAACGCGTGCCCCAGGGGCAGCAGCAGCAGCTGGTGTCCCAGAAGCAGCACCAGCAGCCTGCGCTGCAGCAGGGGAAGCAGCTGCAGCAGCAAGCGCAGCCACCCACGGCGGCGGCGCAGCAGTGGCCGCAGCAGCCCGCACGGCAGCAGCAGCAGCAGCAGCAGCAGCAGCCTCCGCGGGCCGCTGCGCCTGCAGGGGGCCCCCCAGGAGGGGGGGGGCCCCCGGGGGCCCCCCGAGAGGGCAAAGCCTCGAGACAAAGACCCTCTCCACATGGGGCCCCCCCGCCGAAGCGGAAGCGGGGGGGCGGGAAGCACGGGCACAGCAGCAGCAGCAGCAGCGGGGGCGCGCACGGGCTGCAGCAGCAGCAGCAGCAGCAGCAGCAGCAGCAGCAGCAGCAGCGCAGCGTGGTGACCATGAGCAGCACAGAACTTGGCCGCAGAGGCAGAGATCGGCTGCTGCTGGACTATTCGCAGCACTTCGTCAACACCGGCGAAAGGCCGCAGAACTTCATCCGAGATGTCGAGCCCGAGAAGAGGTTTAACGCCTACTTCAGGTGCCTAGGGTTTAGGGTTTAGGGTTTAGGGTTTAGGGTTTGGGGGTTGGGGCTTGGGGGGCGTGGGGTGGGGTCTGGGCGGGGGGAGGGCCCGACGCCAGTGTGTAGGGTGCGGGACACGGGCTTGGTGGGGCGCCACGATTCAGGGTCTAGGGTTTAGGGTTTAGGGTTTAGGGTTTAGGGTTTGTGGAGGCTTTAGCCTGTTGATGTCTTTTCAGGCTGAAGGAGCTCATGGAGCTGAAGAGACAGGTCATCAGGGCGCGCGCCACCCCGGCGCAGTGCATCCGCGTCAGTTGAGGGTTTAGGGTTTAGGGTTTAGGGTTTAGGGTTTGGTGCGCGTAGTGGCATGCAGTCCAGGGTTTAGAGCTGCCTGTGGGGCATCTGCGGGTCTGCTCCCTCGAGCACCCGCGCTCCCCAGCGCGTCCCGCAGGGCCTGGGCCGCGGGCTTGGGGCCTAGGGTTTAGGGTTTAGGGTTTAGGGTTTAGGGTTTGGCAGGCGGACCTGCGCACCTTCGACTGGAGCCTGCTGCCTTGCCTCTTCGACGTCATTCTCGTAGACCCTCCTTGGGCGGAATACGCAGAGAGGTGTGTGGGGGCGAAGAGGCCCTCCGAGGACCTCAGGCCCTGGTCGGTGCAGCAAATCATGGACGTACGCCCCTGCTGCTGCTGCTGCTGCTGCTGCTGCTGTGGGGCTGCTGCTGCGGGGCTGCTGCTGCGGGGCTGCTGCTGCTGCGGGGGTTGTTGCGGCCGGCGCGGCGCTGCTGGTGCTGATGCTGTGGCTGTTGCTGCTGCTGCTGCGTGACTGCTGCTGCTGCTGCTGCTGCTGCTGCTGCTGCACTTTGTGGCTGTGTGCGTGTCGAGTGCTGCTGCAGCTGCCCATAGACAAAATTGCTGAGAGTCAGTCCTTTTGTTTTCTCTGGTGCGGCGTGAAGCATCTTGAAGAGGCGAGGGACGTGCTCTCCAAGGTGCAAGCCACTAACACTTAGGGTTTAGGGTTTAGGGTTTAGGGCTTAGGGTTTGTTGGGGCGGCTGTCTATCTGGTCCATGTCTTTGGCCCTGCGCCTCAGCTAAGGCCTTTCTCTATCCATTTTTTGTCTTTTTTTAATTTTACTTTAATTCATTTTGCTTCCTCTTTTGATTGAGTCATTTCCCGTGCCGGTCTCTCTTTGTTATCTCTTTCTGTGTCTTCTGCTGCTTTTTGACTCCACTTAAATCCTCTGCTGCTGCTGCTGCTTGTGCTGCTGTGACTACTACCTCTGCTGCTGCTGCACCCACTACTGCTGCTGCTCCTACAACCGCAGCTGCTGCTGAACCGCTGCTGCTGCTTCTACAACCACTACTCTGCTGCCACAACCGCTACAACCGCAACTACCCCAGCTGCTGCTGCTGCCGTTGCTGCTGCTGCTGTGTCAGTGGGGCTTTCGCCGCTGCGAAGACATATGTTGGGTGAAGACCAACAAGAGTTTGGCCCGCAGCAACCCCGCCTTCGAAGCTGCTGCTGCTCCTGCAGTTCTTCGCGACGAGTCTTCTTACCTCCACAGGACCACCGAGCACTGCCTCGTCGGCATCAAGGGCCTCGTCAGACGCGCCCAGGTCACACACACACGCAGCACCCAGGGGGCCCCAGGGGGCCCCAGGGGGGCCCTAGGGGGCCTCGGGGAGGCCCTCTGGGGCCCCGGGGGGGCCCCAGGGGGCATCGGGCCTCCGGTGGCCCCTGGGTTTCTAGGGTCCCCCGGGGACCTGGGGTCCCCAGGGGGCCCGGGGGCCCCAGAGGCTCCGGGGGCCCTAGGGGCTTCGAGGGTTCTAGGGGCCCTCGGGGCCCTAAGGGCCTCGGGGCCCCAGGGGCCCCCTGGGGCCCTAGGGGTTTGGGGGGCCCCTGGGGCCCCCTGGGGAGTTGCAGCGGGGTTGTGGGGGGGTTATGGGGGAAGGGCAGGGCGACTAGCTGGTTGGGAGGGTGCTGGCTGCATCAGGGTGCAGCAGCAGCAGTTGGAGCTGCAGCAGCAGCAGTTGGTGTTGCAGCAGCAGCAGTTCGAGGTGCAGCAGCAGCAGTTCGACGTGCAGCAGCAGTTCCGCAGCAGGAGCACCCGTGCCACCCAGCGCTTGCCGCCCCTTCCAACCGCGTG